GTTCCTCGCTTTCTCCCTCATTGCACTCAAGGTTCTTGGTCTGAAAAAAATAAAAATTCTCGCGACGAATGGTCAACCAGCCTTGTTCAGCTCGACGCCACCTACTCCCTCCTCCTTTGATGGCGAAGCCAGGTTACTGAGGCAATACAGCTCCCTCTAGCAAACCTAGGGCCGTGAAGTGCCCGTCCACCTTTCTGATGGTGTCTGCCTCCGCGCACAAAAATNTCTACATTTTCCCGCCTGACCCCATCAGTGCCGACCCAACTCCACCACCACACGCACGCCTCGCGGCGGATGCGCAGCATCAAGAAGGTTTCGGTCATCCCTTGAGGGTGAGTCTAGCCCTGCTCGCCAGAAAGACCACCCCCTTCGCTACAACCCATGTCTAAGCAAAAGCTTGTCGAGGAGCGAGGGGAAGAAGGAGGAGAGGTGATGCACGGGTCCAAAAAAAATATCCCGCTGCTGTCAAGCAAAAAAAATCTTGTGCCCACAACCAGCCGATTTGGTAGCAACGGGCGGATCAAGGGCGCGGAGGCCCACTGCCGTCTACGCGGCGAGAACCTAGGGAGCGCGCTCTGGAGGGAGCACTGCTAGGGGAGAGGATGCGAGGGGGTGGTCTTTCTCGGGTGTGGAACCGGGGGCGAAGCAGGCGCGACGGTGGAAAAATTCAACTTGCTGTGTGGGATTCTATTTTTTCATCATCATGCGTTTTTTTCTGCTCATAAAGACTTTTGGGCGACATCGCGTGACTCCACCACCGGCGCTGCACTGCAGCTCTTGCCACCGTTCCTGCGCCATGAGTAGCAGTGCGTGCCCTTCCTTCCTTGCAGTGTCTCTTCAACCCCGTGTGGGATTGGGAACGGTGGCGGCGGCTTCAGTTCTTTTTTGTACCATGTTGAAAAATCAGAGGCCCTACCTGCTGCTCTTTTCTCCTTTTCTCGTTGGGGGTGTTTGTTTTCCCGCACAACTGACATTTGTACCGGGCGCAACGGCTCTGCCGCCGGCGCTACTGCAGCTCTTGCTACCGTTCCTGCACCATGAGTAGCAGTGATTGTCTTACTTTCCTCGCAACGCCTCTTCAACCCCATAGATGGGCGGGAAGGGCGGTGGCGGCTCGGTTCCTTTTTGGTACACGTTGAAAAAATCAGAGACCCTGCCTCCTTCTTTTTCTCATCGAGATGGGGGGTTGTTTTTCCGCTCATCTCTGACATTTGTACCCGGGCGCAACGGCTCTGCCGCCGGCGCCACTGCAGCTGTTTTGCTACCGCTCCTGCACCATGAGTAGCAGTGATTGTCTTACTTTCCTCGCAACGCCTCTTCAACCCCATAGATGGGCGGGAAGGGCGGCGGCAGCTCAGTTCGTTTTTTGTAGCATGTTTAAAAAATCAGAGACCCTACCTTGCCCAACCTGCTCTTTTCTCATCATCGATCGGTGTTTTTTTTCCGCTCTCATCTCTGAAATTTTTGTGCCCGGGCGCAACGGCTCTGCCGCCGGTGTTACGGCAGGTCATGCGACCGTTTCGGCGCCATGAGTATCAATGACTGCTCTTCTCTCTATGCAATGTCCCTGCGGCCCCACAGCCGGGTAGGAACGGGGGCGGTTGCAGCAATCCCATGTCGATGTCAACTAAAAAAATAACGAGACACACCACACCCGATGTTCAGTCTTTTCGCTTGGCAAAACTGACGTGGCTGCCAAAAATGCGAGGATTGATTGGTCAGGAAATAAAAGTTTCAGAAAAATGGGCTGTTCGAAAGAACCTCCGCGTGATAGAAATTTGGCCCAAAAACAGGGTCAGGCGCATGGCTAACTGTATCCCCGGACAGACTGGTATCAATTTTTAGAGTATGCTTACGTGAAAATTGCGGTATGCACTTAGTCATGTGTACCACGATGCATATTACACCACCTGTGGGGAAAGGTGAGGGTAAGTTTACCTTCCGTCGCCTCTTGGTTCGCTTGGAGCGTGGTATTCCTTTCGCCGACGACGAGACAACCACAACCGACAGCGAGGTTGCTTCGATCGACGGCAGGAGGATGAGTCAAGTTCTCTGGTGACAAAACATCTGACCAACCAGGTGTTTGAGGGTCAGCCGCGTCATCCGTCACTCTCCGAAAGAGGAAGATGGAAACTGCTGTGTCCCTCGCAGCAGACACAACAGCTCAGCAGGAGACATGAAGTGAAAATCAACATGTCATTTCAATTCAAAGATTGTGACAACTCAAACAGCTACACTCTCACGAAAACAACCAAAGACATATACAGGATGGGAGGGGGAGATGTAGCTGCTACTCACGCCTCCTACCCAACGCCGCCTCTCGCCCATGGGTAACCCATTACTTGCCTACACATACGCTCGACGCACGGAGGTTCAACACGCGCACACAACGTGAGGAACAACTTCGCCTCCCGCCCAGAGGGGGGGGTTGTGTGTCGAACGTGTCTACTCTCCCTCTCTCTCGAAATGCTGCTGCTGCTGCTGCTGGCCATACTCGACAACATGCAGAAAACTACACATGGTAGAAGTCTCGTGAAACACCCGTCAAATGACGACGTCGAACGAAGACAACAGAATACAGAAGAATCTTCGAACACTCGCCGGAATCAGGCTTGAGATGGATGTGAGGACGACACGCCACCCGTGGCGGGACGGTACTCCGTACTACTATATATTTGGATTTTGCTAGGATTTCCCATCGTGAGAGAGACGCGAGAAATACTCACGCGCGGCGGGCTTAAGCTCGAGGCACGCGATAGACAACTCAAAAGTGCAATAAACCGCCATCACAGCCCAATAATGTGTCACGACGTGCAACGCGCCCGCCCAGTTGCAATATCACCAGCGGATGTGTCATGCTCGGAGACAGCTGCTGCTGCACCAACAACGTACCATCCATCCCCGAAAGCAACCATGATAAAACTATTCACTTCTTGGTGAGCCCAAGGGCTTCAAGCCATCGTACACGCACTACAGATCCAACACCCGGACCTACGACCATATCTGAGGCAGCGGCGGGCAGGCAGCGTTTCCTCCCGCTCCCGCGCTCAGTGCAAAATCAACTAACACAAGCTACGGCTGCAATCACGACCGACACCGACAACTGACCGCTGGCGGCGAAAAAAGGAACACACCGACGACGATGCTACCCCCGCTACCCCCGCTGGTTTGTCTCAACCGCCCGACTTTCTTGTGCGGGGGGGCCATACGCATGCAAGCACGTGTAGCACGAAAAGACAATAAATACACATATATAGTACAAAGACACCGTTCGTTGCTCTCCCTATCCTACAATCATGCCATACATTCTTCTTCCTCGACCCACTCCGCTGCCGCAACACTCTTCAATGCCTCGTGTGCCGCTCCGCAGACCGCCCGAAAAAAACAACGGAGACAAGCTTGGGGCTGGATATGACACACCACGCGTGTGCGACAACATAACACTTACCTAAATAACGACCCAACATACGACTTCCCGTGGGAAAGCTTTCAACTCAAGTGCTCGAACATAAGGCTCCAAGCAAATCAAAAGGAAACACGAATAAGCTCATAAAACGGGCCTGCCCACCCAATCGAGACAAGCCTCTTCGACCAGAAGCAGCAGTTGTGTAACCGTTTTGTGGGCTATCGACGGGGTTCCCTCTCGCGAACAGAGACAAGACTGCTCGAGGTACCCTCCCAAGGTAGGTAGGTGGCAGTGCTCGAGCAATCGAAATCACTCAACGTCCCATGCTCATCGTCATCATCATCATCGAGTCTCCCCAGGAGAAAGGACAAGAGACAAAACGAAGCGGAGGAGGAAAGCGCCTCGCGATAGACATACACCGCCTGACCGGACAGGACTATCTGCCTACCAATCGAAGTAAACGAGAAACTGGACAGGGTCAAGCGCAAAATCATCGTCAGCGACCCGAGCGCAGAGCCACCACCGAACTATAGCGCTTGCCCACCTCCGCGGCTATTTCCATACGTGCCACACAGAAAGTGACGCACGCCAATAAAAAAAAAGGGAACGAAAATGCCACGGAATCGTGGTTGAATTGCTGCTTCCTTACACAACATGGTTTCCCGGCCGGTTGCGATCTTCCCTGGGGGTGATGGCACCGGAATCGCCGGAATCGCTTCCCACACCACCCGACTTCGACATAAACCTCTGCGGCATGAAACGTCCCAACCAACCCGACACCCCGCCGCTCGTCTGCTATTTTCGATTTTGTATTTTTTTTGTTGTATGTTCAGACATTCCGAAAAAAAAATCCGTGAGGGCACAACAAAACAAAAACAAGGAGGAAGAAGAGCAACCCCGACGAAACAGTGGGCCATCCCGAGAAAGGAAGAGTCAGCAGCCACGAGAAAATCACACGGAGACGGGGGAGAGGGGGGGGAGCACGACAGAAAAAAAAAAACGAGAGGCAACAAAAAAAGAAAACATCGGCATCAGAAATGAAAGATGGTGCATGATATTCGGTACTACATTTTATACACCCGCAAGTAGCCCACTTCCAAAAAACACAAAAAACAAAAACATCGAAACCCCACAAGCAACGCTGCTTTCATCACGGTGCTAACACTCAGGTATATGGGGGGTTGGCTATCGCCCTCGGTAAGGTAAATGGTATATTTTATACACTTTCCCAAGTTGGGATCGCGTAAAGTGGGGGGGGGACTAGGCCACGAGGGAACACGGCAGTTCGGGCCCGAAGCGGGTGCTCGAGCACGACCCCTCTTCCTATTCTAGGAAGAAAGCTCTCGCCAATTCAAGAACAATATTCTTTCCGTTTATGAGAGCCCAGAGTTTTTCCGTACTTTGTTTTCTTGTCTGTTTTCAATCGTTCATGTTGCTTTGCGAGTGGCTGAACGATTTGCTGATCGTGCGTCCCACGTATCGGCCCAGGTCACGGCTCCTGCGCCACATGGCCGAGTCTCCCGTGGGGGGCGTGATTTGACCCTCGTATTGCTCGGCGTGGAAGGTCTGGCTCGTGGTGTAAATGGGGTTGATGAACGCTCTCTGCCGTGCAAAAAAATAACGACAACAACATTGGATGGAAGAAAAAAAAGTATGACACGCCATTTACATAAAAATACAGAGCAATGACAAGTACACGTTACAATGACCGACCCATCGGCGTATTCACGAAGGTATTCCATCTGGTTCATCTTGAGGTAGTGGGGGGGGTGTCGCGCGCTGAAAGTGTCCAGAAAAGAGGGATGTGTTTGAATATAATCCATAGACGATCAGAACGCGCCTGTTCGGTACGTGAACAGCCTCACTACAATGCGGTTCATATCGAAGCGCCTTCTTTGGTTGGTTCTGTGATAAGCGTTGGTTTTTTTGGTCAATATTATTGCAAGCCTAGGTTGTATCAACGAAAAAACGACTGTACGAAAGAAAGAGCCCCGGTTAGAACATTTAAGCGAAAACAACCGCAGGAGGGGGTCCAACCCCCCCATCCTATGTGACCCAGGTTGGGTCGTCTGGCTGGTAGAAGTGGAGGATAGGGGCCAAAGGGGCAGACGACAGAGTCCAATGATGGGAGGAAAACAATTAACAAACAAAACTATGCCTCTGCAAAAAAGGATGGAGGAAATCGTGTGTGTATGAGGGGGGCGAGGGCGAGGGGCGGCGTCAGCAGCATCATGAAATTCAACAACGCTTCGCGTTGACTTGCACTCCTTTCGAAACTACAACAAAAATGTATGTGATGGCACATCGGACGTGTTCGGGGCTTTTCATGGGGTCTCTCCTGCAAGACATTAAATTAAATCTCGCCAGCCTGCCAGGTTTACGGTTTTCCAAAACTGAACATGTACAGAACGCTGATTTGCCCTTTCTATTAAACCCTGACGTGAGGCATGATAATTCGTCAATATATAAAAGAAAAAAACGCACCTGGTCGGGACTGTCGGGTTCCGCCATGCCCTCCACGGCGAGGGAGACGGATGGCGCAGGCCTCCTCTTGTTGAGCATGTCGAGCGTGGCCAGCTTCTCCTCGCGACGGCGGTTCTTGTTTCTCGTGCGTAAGCCGGCCAGGAGCACGGCCAGCAGGCAGACGCCTGAACGGAGCGGGGGGGAGGGGTGAGGACGGGGCAGTTGTACGGCCGGCGGTTTGAATCAATGCCAAGGCTTCCCTTTACAGGGCCTTACGACAGGCTGCATCGCTTCCGTAGTCACGCCTCTGCGACGATGCAAATACCACCAGAATATCCACAGAAGAGCGTGATGGTGCAGCAACATCACACCAGTATATAACAGCTTCGAAAAATTATCCTCAAGATATCATCCCCCTTACATGTGTCATCATCGCCGCTCACCTCCGGCGCTGAGGCCAATCACCAAGGCCAGCTTGGTCGCTGCGGACGAGTCGGAGCCGGTGTCGACGGAAGCAGCCGCCACGCCTACGGGCAGCTCGACCGACAACCCCCACGCGTCGTCGTTCACCTTGTCCACCACCTGTCGCCACAATCAGCGTACATGAGGGGGATGGTGAGCGACTACAACGTGGTCGTCCGTGGGGCGACAGACAGGTGCTTGCGCCTACTCCGCGGACGTCATGAAAGAAAACAAAACAAAACAATAGAGGCACTCCTGTACCCCGTGTGATCAAAACTATACTTGTATACTTCGGATTGATAAACGCGGACCATTAGACTACCTGCAGAGCGCTGGCCGTGCAAGTAGTATGCACAACATCGGAAAAACAAAATACTCCCAGAAAATTTATCTCGCAATCGAACCACTATTCATGAAACAAGAACAGAATGAAACCCCCGACTCAAGGGAACAAATACTAAAGCCCCCCCATTTCACTCGCATCTCACCAGCAGCCTATAGTCGGCGGCGTTCTCGATCTCCTCGGGCAGCGTGATCGTGGCTGAAGCCACCGGGATCGTCGCCGTGCAAGAGCCGCCCTCTTGGTCGGCGCAGAGGTTGCTGCTCACGCGCTCGCCGTTCTGGCGCAGGTAGATGTCGAACTCCATGTTCTCGCCCACGTACAGCCACGACACCGAGACGACGCCTCCGGCGTTTAGCGTGGTGTACCTGGTCGTTCATTTCGTTCGTAGGGGTCGCACGGGAGGAAGGCAGGCACAAAAGGACCGTTCGACAGGTAGAAGTGAGGGAAAATAGCGGGGAGGTTGGGGGATGGGGGATCGTGCCGATTGGGGAATGGGTTCAAGGACCACAGCAGCTTCGAGCGGAGATGCCGCAACCGCGCTCGGAAGGATCCACCTCCCAGCGGACGATCAGCTGCTGCAAAAGGGCCGCCAGAGGCGCACAAACACCTCCAACATTCAGCAGCTTCCCCGTTTCTTAATCAAATAGTTCGAACCTATCCAAACCAGGCAGGGATTATTCTTGTCCAACTCACCCGTCAGGCGACGTGATCTCGACGTTCGATGTCGACGTTCCGATGATGGTGAACGTTTCCGAGGTGTCCTCGAGGTCGGAGGACTGGTCTCGAACGCGCACCGTGTAGTCGGACCCAGACTCCAGGCTGACCCATTCATCCGTCCATCATGAGCCGGGCGAGTTGGGGTTCCAACGATAGGGTCGGAAACGGGGGAAGGGTTGGGGAATTTGGTCAGCCCATGGATCTGTGGCAACAGCCCTCACAACCCAAAGCAAGTTGAGCCGCTCCGCACGTGACGCGCTCTGCTAAAAAACTGACCGCCGAACCAACGCTCAACCAATCAGGGGTATCAGCGCCAGTATACAAGGAAGAAGAGTACTGCTCGTTGGCGACAAAAGATAGTGGAATCAACCGCCGCCAACGGCATGATGTTTTATTCCTACTAGTAACGGGGCAGGACAGATACTCATGGCCTCGTGCCAATCAATCCAGGATGCTGGGAGACAATATCTGGCATGTATGTTTATCTGCTCATCTACGGGAGTCGTCTACAACCGAACTCTCCGGCAGTTTCCGTTTCTGTGCGCACCTGAAGAGAAAGAGTTTCCGCGCACAAACTCTCTGCATCACCTGGTACTCAAAGAAGGTCCAACAGGTCAACATTCGCAGACAAGAGCAGCAGCAGCTAACGACGACACACACCCAAAACATCTGCAAATAACACACATACCACACCACAATACAACGACCATGCTCCACTACCACCGCGTCCTCACAAGCTGCTCACCCGGTGTCCGGCAGAATGACGGTCTGGTCCTGGGTAAGGTCGAAGCAGACGCCGTTCTCCTCCGCGGAGCAGAGGTCGGCCACCTCCTCGTCCCCCTTGAGAAGGTGTATGGCGAAGTTCTCGCCGGTGCCCTCGTAGATCCACTGCACCGGCACGGCGTCGCCGGCGTGGTACGAAGACGTGCTGCGAAGGGATGCGCAGCGGGGTGAGGGAGGAGAAGCGAGCGCGGGGAATGCTGGTGTCGAGACGAAAGTACGGTGTGCATTGGCGGAAGTGGGTTATGGATTACGACCCCTGCTCAACCACACCACGAGACATGGGTCCGCGGGTTCGCCTCGAACATGTGCCTCGACCTCGAACGTGAACTCCTGTAGCTCCGAGTTCAGTCGGTGGGAAACACACGACAAGTAGATATATCCCGTCGAGTTTTGCATTTGCGCAGGAGGAACGCACGGCACACTAGTCTATACCTCGTAGAATACTACCGAATCTACGCACATGCTCGTCAAATGCAAACCAACACCCCGACGCGTTTGAAAACACTCCGTTCAAACCTAACAACGTCAGCATTTTCGCAAGGAAGTACACGGAAGCTCGTGTGTTTTCCGGCTTCCGGCGAGCTGTTGCACAAGGTGTCTTACATGTCCCTAGAGAGGATGCAGGTCGATGACTCTGCGTCATCGAGCCTTGGTTACACTTTGATAGTAACTCTTTAGGAATAACCGATGTTGAACGTAGCAAGGCTAGCTTGCTCACCCCACATCTACCCTAACCCTAACCCTCACCCACGGCGAAAGCACGGCCTAGCGGCCGAGAATTGGGCGGCACGCGGCTGCGCCGCGTGCTCGGAATGCGGAACGGGGAGAGGGCGCTGGAGAGGAATCGGCCGCCAGATAAAAACCAACAACGCCCGACCAATCAGAATGGGTTACTCCTAAAGATCTACCATCAATGTGTAAACACTACTCGCGTCGTCTTCCGCGATGTTGCTCCTCTATGTTGCTGCTGCTCCTCTCCCCATGGTCATGCTCCCACTTGCGACCTACTTCATACGTGACCCGTTGTCTTTGGTAAACCTATCGGTAAGATATGGTACTACAAGCGAAGTTGACAAGAGTTGATAACAAGAAAACCACCTTTCGCACTTGGTGAATATATATACAAAAGTGCGCTTGCCTTCCACAACAAGAGGGGTGCGAAAACCGCGAACGTCAGGAAAGCCTCATGCAAAGGACACAGCGGTTCCTCGATGCAAGCTTACCTAACACGCAAGAGCAGGTCAGCAGCCGAGGATCACCGTGTACTCGGATCCTCTTTTATGTATCTAAATATTAATATTACTTTGACGGCCTTGTGTGGTGAGCATAACAAAATAAAAATTTGAAAAAATGGAGCCTCGAACCCAACTGACGGTACGTATAATCCGGCCCCCTACATGCTGTCCAACCCGAGCATTGGCGCCCGCTGGGAAATGTTGTTTGTTGTTTTTCTTCACATTAAACTCGTGTCAGTTGCTAATCCCAAAATCTAAGGAAGACTCGGTCCGTGGTCACAAAAATGCTAGAGCCATCAGAAGATCTAAAGAACTCACACATAATAAGCGAGAAAAAAAGGGTACACAAGCCCGAGGAGGTACACCTGCAATCCCTGCAGCACGTTTGCGTGCTCACAACTGAACCACACGCCCACACACTACAATTCGACTACAGAAGCAGCATCACCCCCCTTGTCCCGCACTCAACCAAAATGAATGTTGTCGACTACAGCGTACTGCTGTCTGAAGTGTTGTCTGTACAATAATGACACCATGGTGCATGGTAGCATACGAGCTATGAAACTCGGTCAAAGGGGTGTATACGCAATGAGCTGTGACCACATGTTGAAGAGAAACGAGGAACATGAAAAAAGGAGCGCATTTGTTGCTCTGCTCTGCTGTGCTGCATGCGCTGCATGCGTCCAACGGAGGGGTGCACGCACATGCACATTTATGCTGATCAAGATTCGAAATCTCAGCAGCCACATGCACGCTGGGGTTTGTTTCCTCTACGAAGGTCGAATCCGAACAGAGCTGGAACCTATACACCCCACACAAGAATTACCCGCTCCTGGGTGCATCTATGACATGACGCAGGAAAAAACGGCACGGGGTGTTGTGCGCAAACTACTTTTGTTGACAAAGGCGCCCCAATGTATTGCTCTATAAACCCGCCTACGATTGCCCTGTGACGAGACACAAAGAGCCCAAATAATCACGCGGTTGGTTGTTCACCGTGGCTTCATATGTTCTCCACGTGGGAGTCGACAATTTAACAACCGCACGTGCGGAAGGCGTGAACGTGCCGCCCCGCAACAACTTAGTCTATAGGAGTATCTGCACCGAAACATGGCTAGAGCCACACAGACGAAGAACAGCAGTATCCGGACGGGAAAAAACGAAAAACGGAAAAATGAACAAAAAAGTGGTCCAGGGCGGCACACGGGTAAACATTTGGGAATCTCGAAGAGAACGGGAGTCACCAACGATATGTCACCATGATTCGAGCAAGCACACAAGCCACCCAGAAGGGTTGTAGATAAGAGAGCACTATAGCGGTGGGTGGTGTGTGGGTGCGTCCTATTCTCTCTCTCTCTTTTTATCTCTCTCGCACACGCTCGCTCACCTTGCGGGACTCGAAATGTCGAGCGTGGCTCCCAGCGCGAGCCTCGCGGTGCCAGCAGCGGCCACGAAGGTGGCCACTGCTGCTCTCCCGAAAGCCGTTGGCGGTGGCGTCCGCTTCGTCATCACCATCCTCGGTTTGGGCAGCTGATGACAGACAGGACGACATACCGCCAATAGCGTGCGTGCGTGAGGCAAGCAGCGTTTCTCGCGCGCTCTCTCTCTCCAATAGACCCGCACATCCCTCTCTGCTCGCTGCTGTATGTTTTCATCGAATGACCGTCACACAGCAGCGGACGCAAACACAAACAAAACCTGTTCCTATTCCGTGGGCAGTTCGAAGAATTCAAACAACTATCCCACAAAACGCGTCCACTCATAACCTCCCACCTGGCTCTCTGGGCAGACGGGTGCGTGTGTGACGCGTGCCCCGATGTAGTCGCTGGTGTTGACGCGGCGGTTGTTTTGAAGGAGGAATGGGCACGAGCAGGTTGCAGGGCCTGTTGTTGTTGTTGTCTGTCTGTGTGACGAATGGTGACCTTTAGGGAGGGGGTACGCTGAATCATAATGGGGAGGGTGTTCCAGAACGAACGCGGCCGTGTAAGAGCATCCGCACGCCTTTCCCCCCAACGTACCGGGCATTGCTGCTGCTGCTGTTGCTGCTGCTGCTGCTGTGTGTCGCACACTCTCTCCCTTTTCGCATGCCGGCACCCGCCCTGCCACGGTGCTTGCTGCTGTGAGTGGCGGCGTGAGGAGGCCTGCGAGACTGCTGTGGTTGGGCAAGAGAAGATACGTTAATTAGTTTCCAGTATTTTTCCCCACGGAAGAGAGTGGAGAGAGAGGGCGAGCCGTTCGCAAATCCGAAATTACGACCAACCCGCGGGACACGAGGACACAAGGACGCCGCGAGAGCAATCAGGATGCACGAAGCGGTGAGACACACGCTGGCAACGTTAAAGTCCGAGGTAAAGGGAAGAAGACGAGATCCCGCTCCAACGACGGCGGCGGCAGGAGCTTGCTTCTCGAGCAGGAGAAGACTAAGGCCCCTTCTTCCGAAAGTGGTGACGACTTGTTCTCCTTCAGCGGCCTTGTGCTGCGGCATCTTGTTGCTGCTCCCAACCGCTATTACCAGAGTCGCGGCACTGACGGAGATAACGAACGTGGCCGCGCCGAGATCGAACCTCACGGCGGGCACCTATCACACCGTCGGCTGGGTTTACTCCACGGACACCGGCGCCTGGGGCACGACGGGCGATCTACGCCCCTTCGAGATCGAGCTCCGGTCGTGCGGTGGAGACGATGCTCAGCAGGCCGAGTGTGGGCTTGGAGAGTTGTGCGGCAACGAGTACCTCGCGCTGTGCGATCTGGAGAGGGGGGCCGCCTGCATGGACTCGGACGGCAGCTACGACGTGCTCATCCCGGAGGACGTCGACGCCGGCAGGTACGTTTTCAGCGTCACCCACCTCGGCCTCTCCAGCTGGACCTCCGGCGCTTCGTCGACGTCGGACGCCGGTTTGGTCACCGGCTGCTCGGAGAGCTTTTTTGTGGAGGAAGCGGCCGCGAAGGATGTGCTGGCCACGGAGGCTCCCGCGGCGAGCTCTCTCCAACCGGGAGACGCGTTCACGGCGGAGTGGGAGTACGAGGGCGTGGACGGCGAGGCCAACGGGAGGTTCGAGGTCAACCTATTTTCGTGCGCTGACCAGGCCTGCGAGCAAGACAGGTATGTAGGTCGAGCCAGCCCTGCTCTCGCTCTCAAATCTCAAATCAGTGAAACATGTGTTTTTTTGTTCTCGTTCTCGTTCTCTCCGTCTCTCTCTCTATTGTTATACTACATCAGCAGGCATTTTCCGCTGTGCGGGCTGTACCTGCCTACCGGCTGTATCGTACGCTTTGGGTTGTGCGTTCAGTCGCTATTCGCATGCCTCCAGGGCGCTGATGTTGCACGCTCTCCATGTGTGCACCGCCTATTCGCAGTATTTCATGGTAGCACCGCCGTTACAAGCGTGCCTGCCACGAAAAACGTGCTCCTTTTGCTTCCGAGCATCATCCGAAAATGATGCGACTGGCTCATGTTCGATGTTCTGGGTGCATTCTATGATCGTCGGCTGCGGGATGGTTGTTGTTGGATGGATATATATTTGATTACCCGCCATTTCCCGCTAGCGTGATCTAAGGGCGGGACAGAGCGTAAGCCTTTGACGAAGTGTTTATGTTGGCCCTGTACAAATATCAAATGTAAATACAACTATTACTCGAGTGTCATCGACTATTACGGTTATTTGCCTGTAAACATATATTTGCGTAGCTCTTCAAGACAGCAGTTGCTCGGAACCAAATAGTTGCGCAGCTCTTCAAGACAGCAGTTGACAGGAACCAAATATTTGCGAAGCTTTTCAAAACAGCAGTAGTTGGCTGGAACCAAATATTTGCGCAGCAAAACAGTAGTTGACTGGGACCAAATATTTGCTGAGCTTTTGGAAACAGTAGGTGACTGCAGTTTAATATTTGCTCATTTCTGGAAAGTAGTTGCCGATACTTGGTGGTCACGAGACGACTGTGGTCTCTGGTCACGAGAGGATTACCGGGATGGTGGTCGGTTGGTCTAGTGCGATTCATTCTTCTCCGTTCTAGGTGGCTTCAACTCGCGTAGTAAACGATGATGATGGACGTGATGTAATATTAATAATACTCGGGGCTAAACTCATTGCTTGTTTTGTCGCTTCGATTTATTTCACTTTGTTGATTTACGTCTCGATTACGGTGGCTCAGATACATGCACGCACTATATTGATTCGAGGATGCACGTTTCCGGAACCAATCTCAATCTTCCTTCCAATGACATCAGGCTGGGCTCCCTCCGATCCCCCCGCCCCCTCACTTTCAAGCACAAAATGTTCAAAGAAGTTGTCAGGACAAATATGAATAGTTGACAGAGAGTTGCCTTCGGGAGCAATTGCTCCGAACCAAATATTTGCGCAGCTTTTCAAAACAGTAGTTGACTGGACTTTCAAGACAGTAGTTGACTGCAAATCAAACATTTCCGCAGCTTTTCGAAACAGTAGTTGACTGCAATCAATTGTTTGCTCAACCTTTCCGGAAAGTAGTTGATTGCTATCAAATAGTTGCTCAGCTTTTCAAAACAATAGTTGACTGCAACCATATGATTGCGCAGCTTTTCAGGAAAGTGGTTGATTCCCAATCAACTACCAAATACTGTATTTGTACAGGGTGTGGAATGTTTGTCGACTACAGCGTACTGCTGTCTGAAGTGCCGTCTGTACAACAATAACCATGGTGCATGGTACACAAGCTCGTGGCATGCAGATACTGTCTGAAGTGCTGTCAGAATGAGTCTGTGGACATGCAATGAAGAACACCCAATCAAAGCCATCATTGCAGCAATTGACAATCACCCGAATCTATCCAGATCATCTGTGTTAGGCATAGCAGTGTAACATGGACACTGACTAGGAATCGTTCTACATTGAAGGGGTCTTCCACGATGCAGGTACACAATTAGGCAGCCCTCCCGTACATGGGGGTAAAGAACAATTTAAATTATTTCGCGCGAAGCGCGAAAAGAAGGGTCGGAGAGAGACATCAAAGCAAGCGTAGGTGGATATGGATGGAGCCTCTACCACCACGTAGGTCACCAGTGCGCACGCTCGCACCTCACCCTATACCACCAGTCAGTCAGGGGATGAATGGGAGCGCTGTTTAGCTCTCATCATCATCAGCTCGGCGGCAGCAGTGCTGCTGCTGCTGCTGCTNCATGGACACTGACTAGGAATCGTTCTACATTGAAGGGGTCTTCCACGATGCAGGTACACAATTAGGCAGCCCTCCCGTACATGGGGGTAAAGAACAATTTAAATTATTTCGCGCGAAGCGCGAAAAGAAGGGTCGGAGAGAGACATCAAAGCAAGCGTAGGTGGATATGGATGGAGCCTCTACCACCACGTAGGTCACCAGTGCGCACGCTCGCACCTCACCCTATACCACCAGTCAGTCAGGGGATGAATGGGAGCGCTGTTTAGCTCTCATCATCATCAGCTCGGCGGCAGCAGTGCTGCTGCTGCTGCTGCTGCTGCTGCGTGCTTCTGCTTGCTGTTGCTGCCGCCTCTGCTGCTGTGCATGGGTGCGCAGTTGCTTTCTTCGCTTTCGCTACTAGCAAAGGGCGACGGACTCTAAAAATTGGCCCGGACCCCTCCCACGACGCTGCGTCCGTCTCACTTGGTTCTGTTTCCGGGGTGCGTCTGTTGTGGAAGCAAAAGATCGACCGGAGACGAAGAGACCGCAGGCAGAGATCTGACGTGTGTGCACTCGCATGTTCCCTTGTTTACGTGGCTAGCAGTAGGCCTCCGGGTCTACAAATAGCTTCCGACGCCAGCCATGATGTGTGCCTTTGGCCGGCCTTGGCCTACAGCAGTGTGTAGGCCTCGTTTTCTCTATTGTGGGGATGTGTCTGTGCGGGAAGCTCCAAAGATCGGTAGGTTGAGGGTGATGCAGACCGACCGCGGATTGACTTGCGTCGTCACTCGCTTGTGCTGCCGACAGCAAGCAAGGGGCTGCAAGAGTCATACCCAACACCTCTCATGATGTGTACCTTTGGCTGCCCTTGGCCTACAACATCCGTATACTGCTGTGCTGGTTGTATCGCATGTTGTGTACGTGCCGCTGTGCAAGAGGATTTCGGTGCTTCTGCCGAAAGCGTCGTGCCCATCGCCCAATCATCTGTCTCTGTCTTACAAAATGTCTTACAAACTCGACGGGTGATTGGTGGGAGATGGGCATCTACCCGGCTCTACTCCTCTGAAACATAGATAATTGTTGGAAGTTCTTCCGTGTCTTACAAAAAATCGCCCTATTTATGGGTGCCCTGCCCACAATTATGGCACCCGGGTTATCCGCGCCATCTCTGCCGCGTCTCTACAAAACCAGTGACGTCATCACATACACCCAACACTTGTATCCAGAAAAAAAATGGAAAATAATTGACAACACAAGAGATGTTTGTCCGTGGGCCACGGTTCGATGCCGTCTACATGCTCCGGTGCCGCTGTGGCCAGTTCTAGCACGACCAAACTCGACCCGCTCGGCTTCATACACGCTCTCGTTGCTATCCTTCCCAGTCGGTTCCTCGCTTTCTCCCTCGTTGCACTTCGGGTTCTTGGTCTGGAAATTCTCGCGCCGAAGGGTCAACCAGTCCAATCAGCTCGTCACCACCTGTCCCCTCCTCCTTTGATGGCAACACCAGGTACTGAGACAGTACAGCTCCCTCTAGCAAACCTAGGGCCGTGTACATAGTGCCCGTCCACCTTTCTGATGGCGACTGCCTCCGCGCACGAAGAAAAGATGGGCATTGCTGCCTACACCGACGGCC